CGTGGGTGTGCTTCCAAACCTGGCAGAGTCTCAGAATCACCTGAGATGCTTAAAAAAGTATGGCTTAAAAAAAAAAAGAAAAAGAAAAAAGTATGGCTGTCTGGCCTCAAGGAGCTTCTCCCTTGACCCCTTTCAGCCTCAGCATCCTCACCTGCACAATGGGAAAACCACGACCTTCCTCGCAAGACTGTGGGAGTGAGTCGGGTAGAGCATCTGGCAAGGAGGGCCTGTCGGCTGTCTTTTTCTTTCTTACTTTTCGACAACCTATAACCCCCAGGGTCAAGCTCCAGCCTTTCTTCTCTGTAACCTTAACCCCTGGCCTCCTGGGTCCTGATCTCCCTTCTTCCTGCTGAACACCCACTTCCCCACTCAGTTTTGCCTGCCCAGCTGCCCAGGGGCCTGGAACTCTGGGAATACCCCGTGGCAGATGCACAGTTCATTCCTGACTGGGGCTTCTAGCCTTGCTCCTTTGCTCTGGAACCATGGACGGGAGGGACTTCGTACAAACCTCAAATACTTGTCAACCCTGCTTTACTTGGAGCTTGAGGCCAGCAATGTCTCCAGCAGAGGGTTGGCAGTCCCTGAGGTCTGAGGTCTCAGCCAGCCCACCCGGTCAGTGTGGCTGGAAGGGGGAGGAAGGAGGAGGTAGGAAAGGCTATTTCTGTAACCCTTTCCCTCCCCATCAGAGGTGTGTGACCTGCCTCGCACCCCACCAGAGTAGAGGAGGGTGAGCTCAAACACTTCCAGATGAAATCTTTAGAAAAAGGGTGTGAGGAGGAGCGATCGGAATGGAGTAAACTATTTCAAGAACCCAGATTACTGAAGACTTAAAGTAACAAATGTGCTTTTAATAGATCTACGGATAAAAACTACTCAGTGCAGGTCAGTAACCATGGCAGGCCCTACTCTGTTGGAGCCATGCCCTGTGCGGTCTTCAGGACCTAGGCTAACAGGCTATTTGCATTATTTCATGTCATCCACAGTATTAGAAAAGAAAGGCATTAGATTGGTTTAGATGAAATGCAGTGTTGGCAGCCAAATCCAGTCTGTTATATTCCATATTTTTTCTTTAGTTCTTCTACTTTGTTGATGTAAGCTTTCATGGCGTCTTCCTTAGAAGTCCCTGGAAGAAATCAACAGGATTATTTGTCAGAGAGGCAGCACGGTAGAAAAGCAGCAGACTTAAAAGCCCTATACAGTCCCAGTTTCATGCTCGGAGGCTCAGTTTCTCCCCTGTGAAGTGGGGTTTCTCTTACCTGCACCTCACAGACGTCCAGGATTCAACTTGAAATACTTAAGGAGCTGGGCCTGCAGCTGATGCTCCTGAAAGCACTGAACCCCTAATGTGCGTGCAGCTGTCCTGAGGCCCGTCATTGGCCTGCTGGCCACATGAGTCTCCCACTGTTGTGAGTGAGTGGTCAACCTGAGCCTCGGGGGCAAGGCTGGATGCTCCAGACAGGTCGGAAAGCCTAACATGGGGAGTCGCAGTGACTTTCCTGGCCCTGTTGACTCTGACTCTCATGGTTGGCTCTGACCTATCTGTTGGGCTCTTCTCTGCTGGAGAAAGCTGGCAGTGAGAAAGCAAAGCCAGGCACCCTCTTCTCCCCAGAGAGGAGCTGTGGGAAAAGTTTCGAGAACTGTGAGCAAAGGCAGCTAGCTCGTGGAGGTGAATGAGGCACATCTCTGCCCTCGTGCCGCAGTCCAAAGGACACGGACAGTGAGCCCCGATTTCCTGGACTCTGCGGTGAGGGAGAGACGCTGGGAATCGGAGCGCTTTCTGAAACACTGCAGAGCGCCTGGACACCGGTATGCGACGGCCAGTGACGATGGGCAGTCAGACGCGCATTCCTGTTCCAGTTACTTGCAAATCCTAGGAGTGTATTGATTGTATCCTGGCCCTTTTTGAATCCGAGGGCTTTTCATTTGCAGGAAGACAGAGGGCTTATTCAGAAGCTAGCGAGCGAGAACACAAAAGCTGGTAGGCAGCTTCAGTGCCAACTGGCAGGTCTCGCTGCCGCAGGCGACACGTGATGAAGTCGGAGCTGGGGTACTTCTTGGCTACTGCTGTTTAGCGTGTAGTAGCTCTGTTCATGGGGAGTACTCACTCCCTTCCTTTATGTGCCTTTCTGGCTGGAAGCGAGCTGGGGAGGGCTGCTTGGGCTAGGGGATCACTGCCCGGCCTTGCAAGGAAGAGGAAGGTGCAGGCAGGAAACCACTCCTCCTTTTTTTTTAAGATTTTATTTCTTTATTTGACAGAGAGAGACACAGTGAGACAGGGAACACAAGCAGGGGGAGCGGCAGAGGGAGAAGGAGAAGCGGAGCAGGGAGCCCAATGCAGGACTCGATCCCAGGACCCTGGGATCATGACCTGAGCCAAAGGCAGACGCTTAATGACTGAGCCACCCAGGCGACCCGCAACCACTCCTTCTTGTGAATACATATAAAGCCCAGGCCAACTATTTCACACACCGCCCCCCCCCCCCACAGTCTGTTTTTCAGTAACCTGGTCCCCAGCCCCTCCTCTCCCGACAATACCACTGCTCAGAGACAGTGCTCTTGGAGAAGGCATACATGGTATTAGGAGAAAAAGTAGGTGGCCCAGTTTTTTTCCATTTTGGCCAGGCCAGGCTGGTTTCTGGCATGTGTTCCATCCACTCTGTTTACTCTCCTTACCCCTTACACTCCATAATGAAGAGTATTTCATTACTGGGCTTCACAGACTAGGGAAACTGATTACGAACAATTACCTTTCAGATGATTCCAGGCATCCCACTTGGCCTTGCCTTTGAGATCCAACAGCCCAGGCCGTTCTGAAACAAGGAAAGAAAAAGACATTAGACCTGCTTCAAGTTCTAATGGAGAACGTCATCGACTCTCTTGTCCTGAAAGCCATCTTTCATTTCATTGGTTCCTTCCAAGCTCTGTTAGGGAGTTAAATGGGTCCAGCACAGTGGGTTCTGCCTTCAGAAACCCAGATGTACAGAAATCCAAACTTAAGATTTAGAGAAAATAGGAAGAAAACTGTTCTCATTACTAGGCAGACTTTGTCTTAGAAGTTAAATTTTAACTCCAAAATTTCTCCTTTTAAAAACCATACTTAAAAAAATTTTTTTAAACAAGTACGACATCCATTCATATGGCTTAAAATTGAAATGCTGTCACGGAGAATACTATAAAGTTTCCCTCCCACCCCTGCTCTCAGTCACCCAATTTCTCTCTTTCACGTTATTATTGCTATCAGTTTTCTGGGCTCCTCTTTCTGTGAATAGTCTGTTCATATCCTTGCCCCATTTTTCTACCAAGTTGTTAGTCTAATTCTTGTTAATCTGCGGGCGTTTTGTCTCCAAAGGCAAAGCATTCTTAAAGTTACGCCATGATTTTACACCAGACCTGTCATCAGCTGCACTTGGGAAACACACTGGCTACTTCCCTGCTGACCTATTTTACTGCCACCCTGAGAACAAAGGCAAGAGGAGCAATCCCAGTGCCCATGGCCCAGACCACTGTGCCTGAGAAACCGCAAGTCTCCTCAGATGCTTTCAGAGAAGCATTTCCAGGGATGCTGGAGAGGGCGCCTACAGAGTCATCATCCAGGAAGAGTGAGCACACTCCAAAAGCCCTTTTTGTGATGATGGACATGTACATTTACACTAACTCAGGGCCACTGGCCACTTGTGGCACTTGATATGTGGCTTGTGCCACTGAGGACTGAGCTCTGGATTTTAACTATTTTCAACTTAAAACTGAATGGGGCTAGTAGTGACAATCTATTGGACAATGGAGCCCTAGAATGAGCTGATGCCTCCCCAATGAGGAAGCGACAGATTTCCAAGCCAGTCTACATACTCATGTAAAAGCAGGCCAGGGTCTGGGAAAATCCTGTTTGGCAGAAAAGCATCTCAGCTCCTCTGGCCAGCCCCGCTTCATCTCTCCTTTCCCTTCCTGGGAGGATATAAAGTTTATAAACCCAGCACAGTACTCACCTTTGCCCCAAGACCTTCTCAGCTAAGCCCTTCCTGGGAACTTTGATTTGGCACTGCTCTGGGCACCATTTCCTGTTTCCCAATGGCTGGCAGCCACCCACCTGCTCCACCGCCCACCCCAAGCGCGGTGGAATTGGCCATGCTTTCCCTCCTGAACAGAGGAGGGGGTGACCTTCTTCTATGCTGCCGTGGCCACTGCACTCCGAGTCCCTGCAGAGACTGCATTGTGCTGTTGCCTCAGTACACACCTGAGTTGCAGGGACTTAGGGGCAGAATGAAAACTGTCCAAAGCAGGAAAGACTGTATTCAGAATATGGTAGTCTAAACTACCACCTCAAAATCTGTACTAAGATTTTTTTCTTTTTTTTTTTTTAAAGATTTTATTTATTTGACAGAGAGAGACACAGCAAGAGAGGGAACACAAGCAGGGGGAGTGGGAGAGGGAGAAGCA